GAATTAAATCTTTTTTTCTAACTGTATTATCAGGATGCAACATAACAAAATTGAAAAACGTGAAGGGAGACTGAATAATTTATGATTGCAGTGTGTGTGTATATGTGTATATATGTGTGTGTGTGTGTGTGTATGCACTATATTGCCAAAAGTATTGGGAAACCCCTCCCAAATCATTGGATTCAGGTGTTCCAATCACCTCCATAGCCAGAGGTGTATAAAATCAAGCACCTAGGCATGCAGACTGCTTCTACAAACATTGTGCCACCTGTGCAATAAGTCCATCCGTGAAATTTCCTTGCTACTAAATATTCTGCAGTCAACTGGTGGTATTATAACAAAGTGGAAGCAACTGGGAACAACAACAACTCAGCCACGAAGTGGTAGGCCACGTAAAATGACAGAGCGGGGTCAGCGCATGCTTGTACAGAAGTCGGCAACTGTCTGCAGAGTCAATAGCCAAAGACCTCCAAAGTTCGTGTGGCCTTCAGTTTAGCACAACAACAGTGTGTAGAGAGCTTCATGGAATGGGTTTCCATGGCTGAGCAGCTGCATCCAAGCCTTACATCACTAAGTACAATGCAAAACGTCAGACGCTGTGGTGTAAAGCACGCCGCCACTGGACTCTAGAGCAGTGGAGATGTGTTCTCTGGAGTGACGAATTACACTTCTCTGTCTGGCAATTCAGTGGCTGTGTCTGGGTTTGGTGGTTGCCTGGTAAATGGTACTTGCCTGACTGCATTGTGCCAAATGTATTGGTGGAGAAGAGATTATGGTGTGGGGTTGATTTTCAGGGGTTGGGCTTGGCTCCTTAGTTTCAGTGAAGGGAACTCCGTAAGGCGTCAGCATACCAAGACATTTTGGACAATTTCATGCTCCCAGCTTTGTGGGAACAGTTTGGGGATGGCCCCTTCCTGTTCCAACATGACTGCACACCAGTGCACAAAGCAAGGTCCATAATGACATGGATGAGCGAATTTGGGGTGGAGGAACTTGACTGGCCTGCACAGTCCTGACCTCAACCTGATAGAACACCTTTGGGATGAATTATTGCGGAGACTGCGAGCCAGGCCTTCTCGTCCAACATCAGTGCCTGACCTCACAAATGCGCTTCTGGAAGAATGGTCAAACATTCCCATAGACACTCCTAAACCTTGTGGACAGCCTTTCCAGAAGAGTTGAAGCTGTTGTAGCTGGAAAGGGTAGGCCAACTCAATATTGTGCATGTAAAGGCCGGCGCCCCAATACTTTCGGCAATATAGTGTGTGTGTGTGTGTGTGTGTGTGTGTATATATATATATATATATATATATATATATATATATATATATATGATATGCGCGTATATATACATTTTGACTTTAGTTCTACTTTAAAGTACATCAGTGTTCTCCTCTTGCACCCAATTTGATCAGTGAAGTAAATGGAAGTTTTCTGACTGTTCGATTAGTGCAAAATGTTTTTTATCCATGGTGCAAATTTAGTGCTGTCCTGTGAACAATTCAAGGTGTCTAATTAGTCCTCATAGTTCATCACATTAAGGTTTCAAGGTAAGGACACTAGAATAGGCAGAAAGTTTGAGTAGTTTAGCAAAAGACAGCTGGGTAGGGCCAACACCAAATACTCTGCAAAAATGATGGATTTTATCAGCCCATAACAGTAATTAGAGGTCAAGTGCATTTCTGCCAGATCAACAGACAATTCAGTATTCTTTTGTACTTGATAGGGTCTTGAATTGAACATGCAGTTCAATTTCTGTGTAAAGTCAAATATATAAATAAATATAAAGTTCATAAAGTGACAATCCGTGCTAGGGTGCTAGTTGCAGTAATGGAAATGCTTCAGTGCTTGTGCTTGAAGATATGGTAAAATTACTCACCAGATGCGTATTGGAAATACGCATGCAAATACACACTCAGAGGTCCCCTTTAAGGAAGCGAGATAGGCCAGGCATGGAACATCCTCCCTCTGGGTAGCATACAGCATAGCAGGTGTTCCTGGGTTGCAAAGGAATCCATCGCAGTATCCAGAGGAGGGAGTTCCTGTGGACGGGCTGCAAACACCCATCCATCCCTTGGAGGGGACCACTGGCTGGCCGCTCGAGCGCTGCATTTCTTTTATTTATGGATCTTATATATGTTTTGAGGTTTTATTTGGTTACCTTTTAGTGCAATAGCTGCTTTTATTAGAGCGCTCACTGATTTATATACATTTTATGTGTAAAAGGAAAGTTTGTGGCGATTCTCATTACTTTTTCCATGTTTCTGCAGTCTAAATATTGAGGGGGTTGAGGTTGGGTATAAAGTGCGGAACGTCTTCTTTTTGGTTAAGTTCCGCTTTAAAATTAGAAAAACATTATACATAGTATTGAAAATACTGCATGCTCTAGGGTCTGTAAATTGAAGCTTTAGCTTGAAGATAAACATTGGCATCCTGACTGTAACATTTGAAGTAATATTTGTTTATATTTCTTAAGTTGCTAAAGGAGAAAGAGAATTTGGAAACGGAGCTGGAAAAGGCAGAGCTTGAGAGAACCACCTATGTGTCAGAAGTCAGAGAGGTAATTTATGAATGTGTTTTTAGATTTTACTGCACTGAGCATGGTGTAGTACAATGATCCAAGATTCATTTGCTGCAACTATTGATTCAAGTTGGACAGAGCTGCTCTTCTGTATATAGAAATTGCCTTTATCCCAAGGAATGGGGTTTCAGCTAGTCTGTATGCTTAAGGTGAACCTGTTAAAAGTTAATTAGCATTAAAAGTTAGTTTTGCACATCCTTGGTTAAATTCTGGAGCTTACACCTGGTACACGCGTGCTGAAAGCTGTCCGATTCAGCAGAAACTGGCTGACTTGCAGTATGTGTGTACCACTGGGTAACAGAAGCCGGTCTAATGACCATCTTCAGTCTTACAGTCTGGAAAGCTAGCATTCGATCAGCACATGCAGCCAATGACAGCAGAGCTTATCTGTGTATTCTGACAGAGTTAGTCCACCCTGTCAGAATACAGTAGCTCATAGGGAGAGTTCCCTGCATCCACATGGTTGTGTTGATGTGGGAATCAGTCAGTTTTTTTTCCATTCAACCAGTAGGCTGAACTAAAATAAAAACTGAGAATGTATACTCCTCTTTAGAGGTGACGATACATACCTATAGTGACCCTTCAGAGAGCCAAGGTGCTTAACCTGTCTTCCTCTAGTTGCAATGTTTTGCTCTACTGAATATAATAATGAGTGAAGCTGTCCATTACAATGAGAGGCCAGTAATGAAACTCTGAAGGCAGCAATGGAGGGGAGGTGGAGGAGTGAAGAGAGTTGAGAACCTTTGTTTGGCACTTATTCTATCTGTTGGTTGTCAGAACATGAAGAGAAGGAAAGTCTGTCCATTTTAGGGCTGTTTTACAGGTATCAGGTAGTCAAACAACTAAGGGAAAGAGAACGCTAATATCTAAATGGTGCCCAGTGGTTTAAAAAATACTAATGGTGCTATCCACGACTCCTGGGAGGAGTCGTGGATAGCACCATTCTTGATGAAAAGGTGTAAATACACTTGTTCGCAGCAGCCAGTGCAAATGGATCTTTTTGCAAACGGATCACAGAATTAGAAAAAATTAGAAGCTGCTCATTGCCTCAAAAGAATGGATTATTAAAATAAAATCATACATTTGTGATGGTAAACACTGCATCCAACACTAGGATTGAATCACGCTGGACAGAACACTGTGACTTCACCACACACTGGAGAACCGAAGGAAGGATTTTAGGTGGATATTTAATGTTAGAGGGTAGGGTGCGCAGCATTTGTGAGACGTCAGATAGTACAGGTAGAGAAGGAAAATGTTTGGAATGTCCACAATAGGAAAGCATACAGCATGTAAATCTTAACAGATTCTTACCCTCTCCCACCAACTGAAAATTTGCCAATAAGTTACCATTTTTTGCCTCTTTCTGAAAATGCTAGATGCCTGGCTTTGTGTGACTTCAGTATTTTTCAGTCACAGTCCTATAACAAGTGTGGTGTAAATTTTTCTATACTTGTTCAGGGTCAGTGACTAAAACAGCTTGGAAGGCCAAGTATCCAAATGACAGGCATTCCCAAAGTAGCATTCAATAATAGCAGTTAATATTTCATGACATCATCCCTTTTAAACGTTTTTTGGCTGGAGAAGGATATTAAAGGAAGTTCAGACATACTTAAACTTAGATAAGAGGTACATTGTACACAGATTCAGGCTCACTGTAGAAAGGTCATTTGTTTTTTGCTAGTATATAAAATTAATGCTCAGCATGATAAGCTTCATCTTAAGAGATGCATTCTCCGCAATGTGAATAGTCAGAATCATAAATCCACTTCTTACGTTTCTAAGGGATGCCACAAAACGATGATGGTTTCACTGGTTTCTAAAAAGAAAACCATTGATAGACTCTTGGATGAACATTTCCATTTATTTTACATCTCCGAGAAATACTGTACATCAGAAAAAATGAGCCTTTGAGACCGGTAAGGTGGCGTGAAAACCAAGAACTATAGCCGTTCGATCTAGCCACTAGAGTCCTTGAGAAATGTAGCTATCTGGTAGATGATTTGTCGACCTACCGGCAGCCATCCAGAGAGGAGTTATCATGCCCTTTCCCCCTTCTCTGATATGTTATTTAGTCAAAAAAGTTTATTCATGTGCAATTCCATCTTTCTCTATTACTGATCCTGTAGCATGCCTGAGTGCTCATTCCCTTTTGGGTTAGCAAGCCCCTGGACTATAAGCTGTATTTACTGGTCTAGAGACTTTCCATTTGCAATTCCGTGGCATGGCTTTTACTGCTTTGTTGCCTTTTTGGGCTCGGCAATTGCTAATTTTGCAGTGGTAAACTGCTCTATACAATAAAAAGTGTATTGAGAGCAGAAAAACTGTCTGATATCAAAAATATAATGTTTGGATTTGTTATCAACAAATTGTGGAAGCTGCTACTAATATTAAGAGATCCAAGCAAAGTGTGATTAGAATACTTTGAAAACTGACTAATAACTAGGAAGTCCATGCATTTATCTGTAGACCCTTTCCAAAGGATAATAGTACTTGGTTCCTAATTATATCCAGAGATGGATAAGTAATATACATTTGTTCTGTTTTTATAATATATCCAAAGACAAGTAAAATACATTGATCTTATTATTATTACAGGTACTTGTATAGTGCCGTCAATTTGCGCAGCGCTTTACATATATATTGTACATTCACATCAGTCCCTAACCCTCAAGGGGCATACAATCTTAGATCCCTAACTTGCATTCATACACATACTAGGACCAATTTAGACAGGATCCAATTAACCTACCAGTATGTCTTTGGAGAGTGGGAGGTAACTGGAGAAAAACCCATGCAGCACAGGGAGAACATGCAAACTCCAGACAGGTGGTGCCATGGGTTGTTGGTTCGAAATCTAACCTAGTATTGACAGACAGAAGTGCTAACCATTTAGCCACTGTATCCAGAGATAAGCAAGTAAAATATATTGTTTTTTTTGTTATTTACCATATCCCAACAAAACCCAGACACAAAGCAACCTCTTCTTTCTGTTTATTCTGAGAACTGTCATCACATGCACGAGTCATTTCAATTATTCTGTACATTCAGCCTACCAAGTGTGTGCACAGATTAGCAGCACACTGTCGAGCAGGGGGACCAAACTTTCTTACAAAGGGCCAGTTTACTTCTCATCATACTTTTAGGGGGTAGGACTGTGTTCATTGGAAGAAGAAAATGTCCTGGCATCAGTGGGAGTAAAACACGCACTAACTTTAGTGTCAGTGCAAGGAATTTTGCTTTATTGTTGGTGTCATTGGGTGGGAAAAATCATGACCCTTCGTCGGTGTCACTGGGAGAAATTGTGCCTCATCATTAGTGTTATTGGGTGGTACTGTGCCCCATCGCTGGTGTCATTGTGAATAATTGTGCCTCATCAGTGGTGTCAGTGGGGAAAATTAGGCCCCATTGTTTGTGTCAAAGGATGAAATATTGCCCCAAGGGCCAGATAAGAGCAGGCAAACGGCTGCACCCTGGCTGCAGTTTGGAGACCACTACTGTAGAGAATTTGTTTGAGTTGGTGTCTTGGCCACAAACTGCAGGGGGGGGGGGGGGGGAAATCAGTGTGTACATACGCTTTGTCCAATACCCCATCACATGTGGTCGACAGCCTATTGTGGAAATCGCAAATGCACATCCAGAAGGAAATCTGTCCCTCTCCTGATTGTAATCGTGCTGTTTACCATGCTGCTGTATACAGTGCAATCTTCAGACTGGCTGAAAATCAGCAACGCAAAGAAGCGATGTTGCCTGGGCCTGTAAAGTTAGATCTTAAATTACAGGGTGGAAAGATAGCTGTTAAAGGTTGTATTTCTAAATTTGCTCAATGTCTTTCGAGATATATTCTATATTAGAAGTTATTCTTCATAGTGAAACTGTGCTTTACCAATGCAGGGCAAAGCAACAGGCTAATTTAATGACAGCACCACCATCTGCTTATTTCTCTTTTGCTTCCCTGTTTGTCCATTTAGAACAAGAATATGTATCCACTACTTCAGGGTGTGGGGATATTGCAAGTCACTCCCCTTTCTCCCTCTTGGCAGCGCCATCATATGAAGAGATAGGAGAGAGTCCCAGGCCCTATGTAAGCTTCTAATTATGGCTGAAAGCTTACATGGGACTTCTCTTTGCTCCCAGAGAGCAAACATAACAATAGAGCAAAGAGAAGGTGCTGAAAATCCGTTGGTGGAGCTTCCATTACTGTCAGCCTTTTGCTTTCCCCTGTATGGACAAAGCACAGGTTCACTTTAAGTATCTGTAAGGAAAATGTCTTTCTTGATCATATTTACCAGTGTGGATTCGAACTGAAACTTTTCAGCAGGTACAGAAAAATAAAAGGAAGACTCAGACTGGTGGATATGGGCAACATCTACACTTTCCTTTCATACACCTTGTTAAGTGTGGCCCATGTGTTCTATACTTGTGATGGGAGAGCTGCTTTACAAACTCTGAACTTCATTTCAGCTGAAAGATCTGTTGACTGAATTGCAAAGAAAGCTTGACGGTTCATATTCAGAAGCAGTAAGGCAGAATGAAGAGCTGACCTTGGTAAGAAGATGTCTCTCTTCTGTGTCTCTGGAGACTCCTGCTCCTACCTGTCTACTCAGCTTTTGTGTTGGGTGGAATGAGGAACGGTCTATCCCTTTGTCAAGCTTTCAGTCTTTTGCTTGTTTACCTTTCTAACATGATTAAACAATACCAGTATTTTTAACTTCTAATCCACTTAAAGTAGTTAATACCAATGCATGCATGAAGTCTGTTATGCTGCAGATGGACTGAGTTTCAAGAGTTTGTATTAAGCTTGATCTTGTAATAAAAAATGCAATAACGTCTGCGTAATATAAATATGAAAATTATATAGAAAAAATGTTAGCTGGCCCTGCTGTGTACCAACATAAGACATTAAAACCAGACATGAACTGGCGGACTTTTCTGGTACCAGGAATCACCCAAGTTATATCAAAATATTTTAAAATACAGACTGACAAACATTAAAAACAGTCATGAGGTCATCACTCAATTATACTGATCATCTCTTCTTTTCAAGCAGTTTGAAAAGAAGAGATGATCAGAATGTTTTAGTGATGACCTCATAACTGTTTTTAATTACTTTTGTTAGTCTGTTTTTTAAAATTGTAATGAAAACAATGTTTTATTGATATTTGGGTGATCTCTAGTAATAGTAAAGCCTCTCAGTTCATGTTTGGTTTTTATGTAATATGAATATGACTGAAGTTTGATGACTTAATCTGTAGTTGGACAGGTGACACTCAAATGATGATATGGAAAAAATATTGTGTAGGTGGATCCATTCCTAGAAAGTCCTTGTCCTCTCTGAGTTTACTATCCTTTCTCTCTCTCTCTTCTCTCCAAATTATTTAAATGCCAAGATCAGATTTGTGAAAAAAATTAATGTGCGTATTTTTGCAGGATAAAGATGTGCATTTATTATTTTTTTTCACAGGAGCCTGCAGAGCATTGCACCCATGATTAGTACATTGTTGGGCTTCTTCAGACAAGCCCTACAGCCATCTGCCCATACCTCTGTACAGGCTGTCTGATTGAAAATTGCAGGGCTTGTGAATGAGCTATGAGGGCATTCATCAGCAACCTCTCACTTCATTGAGAATTACAAGCTGTCTGCTGCATTGGCAGACAGGACTTGTAGTTTTCTTATTCAGAGGTCGCTGTGAATGCATGAGGCACAGTTTTCAATATGTGACAGCGGGTGCGAGGAGAAGAACCGCTGCCTGCTATCACAGGGAGGGGAGTGGGTGAATATGGGTGTAGATAAATATGGGTGTAACCTGCTCCTAAAACTGAACCTATCCTTTTAAAGCTGACCTGTAATTACATAAGAGGAGTCTAATTACATAACGTGGAGTCTGTGCTGACTGCTCCTTTTATTGTGTAGATACTTGGGCTTCAATATTTTATGGGACAATAATTTAAAACCAGTATAGACAAAAGGAATTCTGCTTGATTTTCCTTTGTTGAAAGCTCTTCCTTGATCTGTAGCAGGAACAAGACAAATCCAGGTACCTAGCTTTTTCTTTTACTATCAAATTTTTCTCTACATCACTGCCAGAGCTAGTCTCTTCCATTGCTTTTAGTGTGACCATCCCTGCCTCTCTTTTGCGATTCTGTGTCCAGTCCCTGCTGGACTGGACATTATGACCATAGCCTGGAAATAACCCATGGTGGACTTGGGCTTTACCAGGTTGTCAATATCTTTTGTTTTGAGGACAACTTACCTAATAACTTACTGTAGCAGCCAGGGCAGAGTGAAGGGGAATAATGTTGAGTGTCACTTGAGTAACAGTTCTGAGTTTGGATGCTGCAACCAGCAGTGGTCTTAATAGGTGTATTTCCACTTTTTTGGTCAAATATGAGAAAACCCAGATATGGTATGTGCTCCCATTCACACAGCATACCCCAAATTAATGAAAAAAAAAAAAAATCTTACATTTTAGGTGTTTGTCAGTGGGAGAGTAGCTTGCAGTCTGTCTGAGACCTGCTTCAAAAAGAGGAACACAGCATTTCCCCTAATTCAATGCAACAGCCCAGTTTCTAAATCTTTAACTCTGTTAAGCCAGCCATAGATGTGTCTAATCTTAGCCAGTTCAGCAGGTGTATTTATTACTGTAAATGCATCCAGACTGTATTGAAGTATAAAATAGCCAAAGATCATTTGGGCTTTAAATTTAAAAATTGGTCTGAGCACAGCAAAATGAAAGGTATCCATAGTCCTTCAAGTAACAATCTAATGACAATGGATGTGCCCTTAAGTCGGCCATAGATGGTTTAAATCCCGGCCGGTTCTTCAGGGACTGGCTGAGATTCAATCTATCTTTGGGCAGGCTGGTTGTACTGAAGTCGATCCATCGACCGACATCAGTACAAGCAGCCTGTTGGATTTGCATGTGATTACTGCAGGCATCTATAGCCACCAGCAGTAATCGGTGTTCTGCCAGCAGGGAAAGCTCCCTGCTAGGAGAACTCGGTAGCACTCGGGAGGGATTCCCCTATCAACACTGACTGTTGAAAGAGGAATCGAGTGATTTTCTTTCCTGCAACCTGTAGTTGCAGTTTAGAAAATTGCATCATCTATAGCTTGCTTTAAGGCAGACACTGATAGTAAGATCTTCCACCACAGTACAGACAAGGTGTTATTGTATACACATTAACTGATAAGCATACCAGAGGGATACTTTAGTTTTGGCAGTTTGAGAAAAGATCAAGTACAATCTAAGCAGAATGTTTAATTTTTAAGGTATACTATGTGAATGAATGTGCTATGAAAATGAATATGTATTCTCATAGAAGGATTGTTGTTGAAATGAATGGTCTGGTGGCACAGTCTCTCAATGTCGCTTTGCTTAATGACTGTAATGTACAGAGAGAAAAACTTCGTTTTTTCTTTTAACACCAATAGCTGAAGAGTCAACTGAATGATACGCTAAGGAAACTGGAAGTGGAGCAAAGCGAGCGTCAAAAAGTGGCCAGTGATTTACACGAGGTGAGAAAAAAATCCGAACACACCACATGTCTATTGTGCAGGAAGTCATTGAACTTGTGTTTGATGGCAGGCTTCTAGGACCATAAACATTGGCCAAATATCGGCCAGTTCAGTAGAAAACTGGTCGACATTCGGCCCATGTGTACACACGCCTGTCCTGACAGAATCCAGCCAAACAGGCATGCTGGAAAACCAGTATCTGATCAGTGCTGGCAGCCAGTGGCTGTTAGCGCTGACCGGTGTGTTTTGGCAGGTTGGCAGGGGGGCCTTCCCCCTATCAGAACACAATAGTGCAGCAGGAAGATCACTGTACTAACATCGGATCGATGGTCCAGCGAGCACCTCCTGAGCCCTTCATTTTTTTCTTTTCATTCAGTCCTCTGGGTTGAATGAAAAAAAAAAAGGCAGATAGTGAGTACCCAGCATTAGGACAATGCTTCACCTGGTACATTCTGGGACTGAGCAGGAGTGTGGTGATCAGAACATCTGACATGCTTTTACAAATGTTCCAAAAGGCCAACAGCTCCATTTAGACAACTGACACAATCCAGACAAGCCCACACTGCCAGAATCTGATTGTGCTATTCTTCTCCTTAATTCTTAAGGTCTGGTCCAAGTGAGAGTGGCAATTGTGGGAGCAGGTAGTCCCCCCCCCCCCCCCCCCCAAGGTTAGACATTGCTTGGCAGATTTAGTTCTACCTCTTAATGGGTAATAAACTGCTTCATCTGTGCTTAGATGAATGTTGATGTGTGTGTATATACACACCGTGCGTATATAATATCATATTTTTTCATCTCATGACACCTTCTTGTCTTTTTTGTACCCTAAGCAGCTTACAATTTGTGTATTCTAAAGTGGAACTGCAGACAAAAACACCCCTAAATTGAATGTTTTAAAGCCATGAAATGCTATTCAGAATACTGCTAGTCTATCTGCCTCAAATCTGTCTTTATATTACCTTACCTTTATTCCTTGTGCAGCAGAAATCACTGACAGTAGGATGTAATATACATTGCTCAGCATAAATGAGTACATCCCTTTTGAAAAGTAAGATTTTAATCAAAATCTCAATGAACACAAGAACAATTTCCAAACTTTTTACAAAACTGAGTTATATAGAACATTTGTTATTATATGAAAGTAAGGTTAATAATATAACTTGGATTACAAAATCTTCAGTTTTACTCAAATTAGTTGAGGGGAAAAATGAATCCACCTCACAACAAAAACTACTCCATCTAGTATTTAATATGACCGCCATGATTTGTAAGGACAGCACCAAGTCTTCTAGGCATGGAATGAACAAGTTGGTGACATATTGCAGCATCTGTCTTTTTAAGAACGACCTCTTTTTAGAGTAGATGGAGAGTGATGCTCGGCTTTCTCTTCAGAATTCCCCATTGGTGTTCGATTTGATTCAGATCAGGAGACATACTTGGCCACTGAATCACTGTTCTTTATCAGAAAACAGTGGCATTAGATGTGTGTTTTGGATCATTGTCATGTAGGGAAAGTGCACGACGACCAAGGGCACATAGTGATGGTAGCATATTCCTTTTCAATAAAGAACAGTACATCTGTGAATTCATGATACCATCAATGAAATACAGCTCCCTAACACCAGCAGCACTCATGCAGCCCCACAGAAGGACACTGCCATCATCACATTTCACTGTAGGCACCATGCATTTTTCTTTGCACTCCTTGGACCTTTGCGACGCCATACAGTTTTGAAGCCATCAGTTCCAAAAAAGTTTATCTTGGTCTCATCACTACAGAGCACAGAGTCCCAGTAGTCTTCTTTTTTAGCATGGGCCCTAGCAAATTCTAGGCGGGCTTTTTTGTGCTTAGAATTTAGGAGAGGCTTCCTTTATGGATGACACCCATGCATGCATTTTCTTCAACCCTTCGCATCAGAAGACGCTCCTGTCGTGGTGTTAACTTCCGTGGACTGCCTGGATGTCTCTATGAGATGGTTGCAGTTCCAGCTTTGTTACATTTTTGTTTCAATTTTGCTACAGTATTCTGACTGATAAGTAAAGCTTTGTTGATCTTCTTGTAGCCGTCACATTTCTTGTGTAAATAAATGTATTTTCTTAGGCCTTGTGACATTTCTCTTCCATGTGGTGCCATTGCTGACAACAAAGAAAACCCCTCCCATTTCATGCTAACGAACACCCTTTTATAATTAATTGTCTGCTGGACACCTGTTTAATGAATATTAGACTCACCTGTAGTGGAATTCTTGTTAATAAGAATTTTGTTGTCTAAAATGTGGCTTTGCTCCTATGACTTTCATTGGGGTGTATTCATTTTTACAACACGCTCTTGAATTAATTTGTTAAGAAAAATACATGTTTGGAATCAATGGCCCGCATTTATGGGAGTATTTTTTGTAGTATAGTGTCCCAAAGAAAATATTGATTCTGATAGGAAAGTAAAGGTTTTCTGACAAATCCATTGGGGTGTACTCCTTTATACTGAGGACTGACCTTGTCAACTGTTTGCTGCAGCTTTACACAATGCTGCCAATCTGTTTTCTGTCACTGGGAACTAGAGGGTAAGGTGTTGAAGGTAGCAGGACTAGTAACTAGTGGAGAAGGCGAGTACAAGGGCAAACTCGAAAGTGTGATGAGGAAATTGTAGTGAATAGTGGGATGTCTTCCTGGCATTGCACTGTGACCGGGGGAATCGCAAGACTGATGAAAATAACTACTTCAGTCCCATTGTAAAAAATTGAAATTCTGTAGCTACAAATACTGTAGCTGCTGATTTTTTACAAACATGCACTTACCTGCCCAGAAGTCCAGCACTGTCTTCACTGAAGCAAATTCTTTGCCAGACTTCGGATCTCTGCCGTGGATATGAGAGCCAGCTATGACTTATTTCTCACAGCTGACTCCTTGTGCAGAGTTTTCAGACTCTCCAGCAGCCTCCTGGGACTTGTCAGGCTGCTCATGGAATTTAATGCTGCTTTTACGCTACCTGGTAAAGCATCATGTACAGTTGTATTTGCCAGCTGCTGCTGAATGCTGTTATTGATCCATATTTATATCTTCTGATGTGTCTTGTCCCCATTGTTCAGGCACAGAAATCCCTGGACCTCATTCAGGTTGAAATACTCAAGGGCTCTGGAGACTCCAATGTCATAGAGAACAGCGGCATATCTCTCGAAAAGGTAAGTGAGTGACTGCACAATGTGAAGTACATGGTAATGAATACTTGTGAATGTGGCTAAATCTTTTCCCTCTTGATGCCAAGAAAACTGTCTGTGACTTGGCAAACAATTTGATTTAAGAGAAGCCAAATTTGTCTGTTTCTAGAGCAGAGAATGGTAATTAAAGTGTTGGAATGACTTAAGTCAAAGAAGATGTAAAGTGTGTGTGTAAGTGTAAAAAGGGTGGGGGTTGGATGGTTTGAGCCATAATGTGCTGACAGTCACCACTCTCTGCTCACAGTGGCGGTGATAACTCGGCGATCAGTGCTCATGTGATCGTGGAGTTTTCACACTTAGACTCGGTGGGGGACAGATGCAGCATGGGAACGATGCTGCATCCACCTAGGTAAGTATGATATTGGGGGAAAAAAAAAAAAAAAATCCCATATTTCTTTTTTTAAGTTGTTCATCTCCTTGAGGCTGCCTTTTTAAAATGTATTTCTTTATTACAGGTACTTATATAGCGCAGTCTATTTACGCAGCGCTTTTCATATATATTGTACATTCACATCAGTCCCTAACCCTCAAGGGGCATACAATCTAAGGTCCCTAACTTACATTCATACATATCCATACTAGGGACAATTTAGACAGGATCGAGTTAACCTACCAGCATGTCTTTGGAGTGTGGAAGGAAACCAGAGTATCTGGAGGACACCCACGCAGGCACATGAAGAACATGCAAACTCCAGGCAGTTGGTGCAATGGGTGGGATTCAAACCTATGACCCTAGTACTGATAGGCGGACGTGCTAACCATTTAGCCACTGTGCTGCCCAAATTGCCCCTAATTCCCAGATTCATCTCTTGTGGAGTGGGATCCTGCAGCCTCTGCCTGTCCTGTTGCTCTGTTAGCTTAAAGTGTTACTAAACCCAGGACCCTGCATTCAGTATATCTGGTCTCCCACAGTACACACAACATGGAAGTGCCAGGCGAGCACATGTTAAAGCTTGTAGGAGTTTTCATTCTGCTCTAGGAAGATGCAAGACCCCTGACCTCTGTCTAGACAGTGCTGATTGGCCCTGTGTTGATCACATGCACCCTCCCAAGAGGAAAAAAAACAACCTCTCTAGCAATACACACCAAACTGAGCATGTGCAGACTGACTCCACACGATATGTCTTATCAGGAGATAAGAGTGGGGCACTGGAAGAAGGGGAGGATCAGGATCAAACAGCGGTTTTACACAATGCAAATGATTAACCCCTTAGGTTCCACAGTGAGTATAAGGAGCATGCTTTACTGTATATACAGACTGGTTTTACTGTTGTGGGTTTATTAACACACTTTTAATTAGTTGTTCAGGCAGTAGTTTGAATATGTGCTCTATGCAGCCAGACAACACAAGTTGTGAATATTTATGGTCTTAAATGGTTGAATTCAAATAGGCTGGCAGTTTATACTTTTTCTTCCTCCTTTCCTCACATAATCAGGGGTGTTATGAAGATAAGACACTCATGTATTCATCAAGTATGCATTCACCCCACATCTTCTGTAGACTAATGTCTGCTTGTTGTCTACAAGATTGTAACGTCCCACGTGTTTCTTCTCCCCAGGAGGAGCAGGACAGAATAGAGAAGATGCCACAAAGCTTAAGCCAGACTGTCACACAATTGCAGCAGTGTCTTCAGGCAGTGAACCAGCAACTCACAAAGGGAAGAGAAAACGTTCAGATTATAGGTATAAGATGAAGGGCGACTTGCTTTGTTTGACTCATTGTACGTTACCTTGTTTCACGTCCTCTAGAGGCTTTCTGAATGATATATAATAACTCGGGGAGAGCCCCCCAAAAATATTTATATTGTATGTATTGGAATCAACTCCTCTCATGGTAAGCCTATTATGAAGATATTCCTTGCAACATAGATGTAAAATCCACTTGTCTGATGCCCCTCACCTGTTCTTAAAAATGGAGTGAGCAGAGGGGAGTGTATTGCTCAAAAAATCTATAAACTGTAATCTCTGGGCTTGTTGCACCTATCATCCTTTTATCCCCTCTGGCTAACATGTAGAAGTTGGATCAACAAAATGTGTCCAAATTTATACAGGGTGACAAGCCTCCAAAGCCTGAGCACCGGGTTGTTACATTGGAAGAGATGCGAACTTTAGTTGCATATTAATCCTATCTCACCTTGCTCCATACCTCCTAGCTTGAGTAACCCTTTTGGAGTGAGACCTATATACCCAAACTGTACCAAAAAATGTAAGCACTACATGTTGCTTACATTTGTCTTCTAAATCCTGGAAGTTCTGAATCATGGGCTGTTGTAACTATCAGGCTTGTACACTGCACTGTTTGTAGGTAACTAAAGGTTTGGTTGTCAATGTATATTTTTTTGCCTAATACACAAAGTTGTGCGGTCATAGTGACATAGTCTGACTGAAAAAAGACAAAAGTCCATCCAGTTCAACCATACAAAAAAAAAAGTTATAATCCTATACCCACAGTTGATCCAGAGGAAGGCAAAAAAAACCAGCAAAGCATGATCCAATTTGCTCCTGCTGGGAAACAAATTCCTTCCTGATCCCCTGAGAGGCAATCGGATATTCCCTGGATCAACTTTACCTATAAATGTTAGTATCCAGTTATATTCTGTGTATCTAAGAAATAATCCAGGCCTTTTTTAAAGCAATCCACTGAGCTGGCCAGAACCAGTCAGCTTGATATATTGAGATTGAGGTGTTTGTAATATGGAATATAATTTGGCAGTACTGGAAGAATGGTTAAAGCAACGGAAACTGCAGTTCTAAATGCATAGTAATGTGCTTAGTGAAAAGGAACACTCTGACAGAGTGAGTGACATTAGTAACGGCACTTTCCAGTGGTAGTACTGTCACACACCATCCTTATCCAACGGAGAAGTAGGCAGCGAGATTTTGAAGAGTCTGATTGGGATGACTTGGCAGTGAAAGATAAAAAAAAGCCTCACTACCACTAGCAAGTCTTGTAGCTCCTGCCAGCAGATTTCCCTAGCAGATGTGCTGCTCTGTAAATCAAATTCCCTGTAGGGCGATTTAACAGAAATACATTACAGCAGCACAAGTCATCATTTAAAGAAATTGCAAATGAACGTGTAATCTTCTTGTAAATAATGCGGCAGATAATAAGGTGCTTTTAGAAAGTGCTTTAATCTCCAAATGCTCTGTATTATATCAAAGTGTTATCATTCAAGCCTTCCCTCGGAGTCCCATCACCCAAAGATAAGCAGCCACTAATGTATGCATTCGCCCCATCTGTTTGGTAATTGGGGTTAACAAAAAGCTTAATTTATGAACTTGGTTCCATGGTTGCTGCAAATGTAGTCTGTGTGAATGAGACTGTCCCACTCCAGCAGGTTAGGGTCGCTGACAGGTGCTCTTCTTGCCCAGAGCAAAGGAGTCAGCATCCAGCTGTCGATTTTTTTTTTTTTTTTTTTTTTTTTTTTTATTCTTTTCTAGCCAGGTCTGAAGACAAATAGTTATCTGGTTTCCAAAGGCATCAGCACCTGGGGCTTTATGTGCCAAGAAAGCAATCATGTTAAACCTGAACTCCAGGCAAACATCTGTGTATGTATATATGTGTGTGTATATATTTACACATGCACATTCACATATATTTAAAATCCGTGAGCAAGAAAACGTTCTGATGAATATAACATGAGGGCAGTAATTTTAATATGAAGCTGAGATCCAAAACACTAGGGCATGACCTCAAACTAGCAGGAGAAAATTTGAAAACAAACATTCGTAATATATTAGGCCTCAAAAAGAAAAATAGTGGGACTTTTACTGTGCTGAAAACCTCCGATCAGAAATGGGGGGGGACAACTCGAAAGAAATATATTTGGATATAAAATAAGAACTTTTATTACAACACCATTAAAAGTTCTTGGGGTAAAAATGACCCTAGAAACATAAAATATAAATTGTAAGCAGCTCAGCCACCCGTCAACATCTTTGTTCTACAAATGCTAGGTCTAATATTAAATATTCCAGTAACAGCATATCATGTAGATAGTGAGGAGAAAAACCACAGATAAGGTGAAAGATGTCCCAGCACATTTCACTTCTAGCTTGTTCAGGGGGTACAAGTGACCTGTAGAAAATAACCCACAAAAGGAACTAAATCATGGCTGATGAATACAAACAAGTATGCGACTGATGAGGTCAGAGGCAAGAAGATGGAATAAAGTGGGGTAAATCCAATGCCTGAAGGTCCAATCCCAAGGCTGCCCGGGGTCACACATGGGAGAGAGGAGACTGTTCAGGGGTTAATGTGAGCAGGACCGATTCACCAGTGTGTGGTGACAGATGTTTTACTGCATTGTAAAACGTCTCTCACCTCAAGGACAAACCCAAAACAATTGTTTCCTATGTTTCCCATTCACACTGCAACACATACAACACAACCTATGGCTGTGCTGCAGAAATAAAATGCAGGCATGCTGCATTATATCACAGTACACTTTGCCAAATCGCATGGCAACTTACAGCAGTGCAGTGCATAGTTCTTGCTGTACATTATCACGAATGAAGTGTGTGTTTTGCACACTTCAGATAAAGTTTTGTACAGAAAAAAAAAGGGAGCAGTGTGATGCGCTGAATTGTGCACCACATTGCCCCTTACCAAAGCTTGGAACAGATAGCTGCCAGAGTGGTAAAGTGCTCAGCAGCTGTCCCCATGCCCATGTGAGTTCACTACAGATCAAGCCTCTTGCTGTGCAGCCCGATTTCTAACAGGCCACGGACCGGTACCAGTCTGCAGGGGTCGGAGACATCTGATTTAAAGGATAAATTCACCTTTTAACAAAAAATAATAAATGCAAATAAAAAAATATGCATTTATTTTTGTTTGCGGAGCCTCTAAAGCATTGCACCAATGATCAGCAGATCGCTGGTGCCATGCAGGTCTCCCCTTGCCCTGCCAGTATATCTGGCTTCTCGTATATCCTGTATGAGCAAGCAGATACTACTGTCAAGAAGGCTCAATGAACTACCACAGTGCTGTGAAGCGCTGCGGTAGTTCATTGAAAACTACAAGCTGCCAGCTGCAAAGGTTGCCGGGACTTGTAGTTTTCCCATTCACAGATTGCTGTGAATGAATGATGTGGCCGGATGGGCGGAGCCCCGCTCAGCCACCTTTTTTTTTTTTTTTTAATTATTAAAGCTAGCAGAGAGAAGATTCCCCACTAGCTGTCACAGCAGGAATTGGGGTGCAGGGGCTGGTCAGATTGTAACATATTACATATTACTCCCTGAATATGGGTGTAACATGTTACAAAAGATTAACTTATCCTGCTTTTCTCAAATCTTTTAAGTAATAGTTTAGGAACAAATCATGTAGGTGTTGTTAAACTGCAGGCGCAGGAACATAACCAGATCTGCTGTCCTGCCAGGCAAGGACCCCATAATGGCTCAAATTTCTGCCTTTCAGTCTGATAGAGAAAGAAAATCAGCATGGCAGCTGCTTGTGCTGCCTAACCGTGATTTCACTGTTTAGCTGTTTTGTTTTTTTTTCTACCTGGATCAGTTGATGTTTAAATTAACTTGTGATGAGCTTGGTGGTGTTTGCAGGCCACCCCCAAAATTCAAACTCTGTTCCCTATAATATCAGAAATGGCTGACAAATACAAAGCAATACAGGTAAAACCACCCCCTATATATACATTTTATCTGCATATTAGCTGTTTGCATGGAGTTCTTTTCATAGTCCTTCATTTAATAATTATGGAATCTCAATAATAAACTAACTTGCTGATTGTGTGTCCTGTTGTCTGTCTCCGCAGGTTGAATTACCCGAGGGACTGCACCACTGAGGATGAAATGGAAGACATTGTAATCATGTTTTGCCAAAATTAAAGCCTTATTTATGTCTTCACCCTTTCTACTTTGTCAGAAACACTGAACAGTGCTACGTCTTTTCTAATTCTTATTAAACTACTGATTTAAACCGGACGATAATAAATATAAAAAAAACACTCCGCAGACAGTTTAGTTTTATAGTAAAAAAAATGAAAAAATGAAATTCTTTTTGGATATATAGATCTTTACATTCCTGAAGCTGCAGTAAAGACGTCTACCTTTTTTTTTTTTTTTTTTTTTTCTTCCCTTTTTGTTCAATACAGATTTATGCAGAAGAATCAACTATGGTAAAGATGATGTAACAAATATATATATATATCCTTTTATTACAGACGTTGTACACTGTTTTACTTAAATCCACTTTGGAAGTAGACACCTCTTCGACCTCAAATAAAACACTTTATTTTTATTTTCTTCTTGAATGATGTCAGCAGATTAAGCATGGGCCAGTTGTTATAGCTGAGTCTTGGTTATCAGAGGCCAATTTGCGGCATCTGAGTGAGAGTTGGGTGGTGTCTTTGTGTTTCCACAGTGGCCTGCAGGTGCTATGGTCTTTTATGCAAATACGCAGCAATGACATGTTAATATATGCAGCAAAAATCTGAGCGCCTAAAGTGACCCTGACACCATATCAAAATGTAAAAAAGAAAAAAAGCAGCAAAAGAGACGTTTTGTACTTGTCTCTCCTATTGTCCGTTTGTTGGTTCTTCACTCAAGAGCTACACCTTCCAGCAGAATCCTCACATGCAACACTTCTGGGTGTCTGCTAGCAACTCTGCTAGAACATAGCTGTGATGAAGTTGCTAGTGGATGAAAGCACAGTAAACAGTGGCGTATACAG